TAGCCAGCTTAACGACAAACGAGCAATTTCATCTCAAAGAGAATAAAGAAGGGCGCGGGAACATTCGAAGACCGTGGACGCCGTTTCGTGGCATCTGTTCGCCGGTCCGAAGATTTATGGAAGTTCGACGAGCCAGAACAAACTCTGAGAGCGCTTTAACTTTGTGTGGAACTTGGTTCGAGGGCGTACGTACTCCAATTAACGCTCGGGGTTTCAGTTGGAGCGACTCGCGAACGCATTCCGTCTTCGACGAAGAATTCCGGGCAGCTCGAATTCGCGATACGCTATCGTTTTCTTGTAATAATTCCGTAAACTGCGAGCAAGCGACTTCAGCCGAGAAAAAGAAGGAATTTCACAAATTAGAAAATTCGTTGGCAGCCGTCCGCCCGGAAGGCGGAGAGCCGCCGGGACCCGCGGGGCCGCAGCACGGCGCGCGGTGCATCGTTTATATGAGCGTCCGGGACAAAAATCCTAATCTCTGAGCTAATCAATTTTCGACCGAAACGCCTTAATAACTTGTCAAAGAAAATACAAAGATGCGTCGATTTGCACGAAAGAGTTATATGACATAATTGTATGATATTTCATGAAATAAAATTCTTGTCACCTTCATTCTTTATTGAATAAAAACTTTTACGCAGATTTTCGTTGACACGATTTATTGTTAGCCGAATACTGAGTTACTTTTGTCCGAAAGATTTTCTCATTAATTTTGCGTTAGTGCCTGAAAACTCGTAGCGATAGTTTCGCATTGAAGCTTGTTTTTGTAGTCGCCGATTGTCAGCAACTATAAAAACGAGCCCCGAAGCTCGAATAATCGTATTTCCCCTTATATTATAAGATAGTAGAATATGATATGATATAATAATATGAAAATGATAAATGATAATGATATAATAATTGTCCATTTTTATTTACAGTCTGATGGACAATTGGGGAGAATTTACTGTATATGGGTTCGCGACGGCTTATGGCTACATGTTTCGTTGAAAAACTCGGAAGATCGCAACTTTTTAAAAACTTTTTCTTATAATATCAAAATGAACTATCCGACGAATATGTCGGAATAAAAAACCCAGGATATTTCGAGTCGTTTGTTTTAAAACCTTATCTGAAGTGTAGGAAAATAAGTCGAACTTAGTTACTTCACTTCGGATCAATTATTACATTGCATATAAGTATTATAAAATTTCTATAGATTAATTAAATCATATATCGCCCAATCACCATTTTCTATAAAGATTACTTCGTGAAACGGCCTTTCTTCATAAAACAATATAAACAAGCTCTGCGTTGTGAATTAACGCACTATTTGATCTTCCTAATATCCGCTCGGAGAATTCGCTTGAAATTAATCTCCTGCAGAATTTTCTGAACACTCTGTTGCTAAATATAATCAATTAAACATGTTAACACATCGTACGCACAGTTCGGAATAGACACGAAGCAGTTTTTTCATTTGAATCATTGACGGCCCTTCTGTTCGGCGCGCCGGCGTGCCGCGCCGTGTGCAAATGGATCCGTAAGAGCGTAAACGTTTGACGTTTAATCGTAATGGCGGCCATCAACGGGATCATGACAGTCGGATGAGTCGCTCGTTAAACACGGAGCACGATGATTATTGGGCGTGCACGTCTTGTCGTAACCATCCTTTTCCTGGGACGCGAACCGACCGACGCGATGCGACGCGACGGTTTCCGAGCGGCTGCGAGACGAGTCGAGGATCTCTGTCGGTGGTCCCTTCTTCCCGGTGTTCCCAGCTTCGAAGAAGACCGTTAACTTCGCGTTCCGGAAACCGATCGGAACATTGTAACTTCTCGTAGAAACGTCGCGATTCGAGTGCATCGCGTGTCGCCGCGGACAAAGTCGCCACTCTTCGCGTTTCGCGGCCGTCGCGAGCGAACGGCCGCTCGAGATTCGTTCGCGGCATCGTTAACAGAATGCCTGTGTCAAGAGTTAATTCGACGCACACTCGTGAGTTAATGTCGCTCGTTCTCGATCGGCGGGACACGTTCTCGATACGTTTCTTTTTTCGGCCGCTGAAGTGGAAACGTCCCCGCCAAGCTAAGCGGATCGACAAACGATCCGTTTGTTCCGCGAGGATTCCTGTCTAGAGATTTATGGAAACTTCTGTGACACGTGTGTCCGGTAAAAATCGAGGACAAAGACGAAAGAATGCAGCTCGCACGGAACGCTCTCGCTCGTACAGAGTTTAAGTTATCGTTATGGATTCGCGCCGCCGTGGATTACACGGCCGGATTTTACGAGTGCGAAGAGTAATAATTGAAACGTGTATCCGTAACGGATCAATTACTTTCTCCCCCTGAATGGCATGCTCGTTAACCCCTTGTCCACCCGTAGCCGGTCTCACGGTCCTTTGCGTAATTCTCGGGTAACGAGGCAATTTTGTCCTCTAATTACTAAATAAGCAAGCAGCCAACAGAGAGGCGAGAGTCGACGCGACGGCAGGTGCTCCCGGTGAGATTAATCCGGCGCACGCCGCGCTGCTCGACTCGGCTCGGCTCGGCACGGCTCGTAAAAAGAATATTCATAATCATCCATTTAGCAATCGTGTATCAATCATTCTCGGATTTTCGGACTTCTGGTTAACCCTCGGGGAACGAACGCCCTTGACTCCCAAGAAGACGATTAAAACTGATCGAATGGTCTTTGGAAGGATCTTTGTTAATTTACTTTGTTAATTCAAACTCGATGCTTTTATAACGCAATTTAATACATACAAGGATCTGTATGTATGTTAATAAACTCTTCGACGAGTTGATTTTGTCAGTGACTGTGAGGACAATCGCGGGCGAAAAATATTTCGAACAGCAATTAATTTCGTTGTGCGTCGTCAATTTCCGAGTCATCGGAGTGAACAAATAAATAAATGAGTAATTACTGAGATTGGAATGTAACGGTAAATGAGTGATTTTTTGATCGCGAAATAATTCGACGTGACGTATTGTGCCAGCCATTTGTCCCCAAACGATACCACTCGACGCCTTCGCCTTTTCCAATTAATTGTCCAGCGCCCGTTAATCGGCGACCGAGTTTAAACGAACGACTGTCCGGCGATCGTAGCTGAAACGGTCGAATTAGATAATTTGGAAACGTAGGAACACCGCGTCGATCGGCCAGGGATAATTAACGCGACGAGGTTCGATAAGCGTGCAGCATAATTGGGAGAACTTTGTCCGCGAGAAACAAAGTCTCGCAATCGTACAATAATTTCGCTCCATCCGACGTTTGCGAATGATTTAAATAACAGCGTGCTCCCCTCCGTCGTATAATAGCCGATCATTTTGTGGATCCGCATCTCTCGAAATCCGATTAATAATATTTCGTGCGCTTTATACGATTCTAACAATGGCAATTACGCTGGAGTGCTGTTTAATTGAGGCCACGGATAATTATGATTTACTCCCGGCAAAATTACAGTAAATGCGATTTACGGGGCAGAGCTTCCGTCCAGTTTTCAACGGGACGATTCAATCCGCACGATGCGTTCTCGCCCCCACCCTCTTTGTTACGTGCGATTACTATGTCGCATAACTACGTCTTCATCCCCGCCCGTATAAACTAACTAAATTTCATGTATTTTTACTTCGTGGGTTTTATAATCAAGCCTTTAGTTTTAAGTTCTTGCATTTTATCCGTACTTGTGCGACTGTTGCATATTATTATTATTATTATTATTACTACTATTATTATTGCTATTATTATTATCACTATTATTATTATTATTACTACTATTCTTATTATTATCACTATTATTATTACTATTATTATTATTATATTATCACTATTATTATTATTATTATTATTATTATTGTTGCAATAGAATTTCGATTATCCGAATTCAAAATTGATAGTTAATTTCTTTTTATTTCCGATAAATTATTAATACGATAGCTTAATCGTTATAGCTTTGTCGTTATTATTTAGAATAATAAAAAATCTAAACAATAAAGATCGACGAAAATCAAGTTTGGTTAACCGAGGTTCTACTGTACTACATATATAGCATCCAAGACCTTCAAGGGATCCGAAAGTCACGGTAGAAAAACGATCGCCACTTTTTACTAATTAATCTTTAAATTTTGCTCGACAGTTTCTACCTAATGCTACATTTTCCAACGATACAGTAATCGATGTAATAATTGAACAGAGATACTGTATTTATCGTTTTGAAACGTTCTTGAAATCACACCTTTGCAAAACAATTCGTGCTATTCACTTTCATTGTAATTCGGCAGACCCGTTAATGGTTTGATTTTCAGGTTGATTTTTAGGTCGGCGCGCCCACGTCGAATCAAAGGATCTCTATCTCCGGAAGATCGCACAGGAGTTCCGAGTGGGTCCGTCAGGCGGGAGATGTTACACGACGTTTAACTCGTGGGGGTTAAGTGGGTTTCAAAACTGTCCCACCTTTTGCTTAGCTTTCTATGCATGATGGGATATATTCTAGCTCATCCGGAAAAGTTGAAGTCACGCATAGTTATTCGGTTTAATGTTTTAATTAGTTGGCAACGCGACGAACCAACGGTAAATGCGTAAATGAGCGGAAACAAACATTTGCACAAGTCGAAACGCATTAGCAAGTTGTTGACACTGTTGTGATTAAGGTTGACAAATTGCGCGTTGCAGCGAATTTTTGCTTCCCGCGACGGCATGTTCTGTGCGACTTGTTTCCATTAAAATCGAACACCTCAGAGAGTCAACGCGTTGACCGCCGCGTCGGTCACGCACAGGTGACACTGTCCTCCGGTCGTATCCGAACACCCTAAATACTGTTAGGACCTCGATAAATTTTAACAAGCCAGTCCGAAGTTCCTCGGCCAAACTATAATACTTCGAAGTTACGAGGGTTCCGAGGGTATTTCGATACTTTTGATATTTATTCATTTACAGGAACGGTCTCTACCTTCGGGTAGAACCAATAAATTACAAGTTATCGGGCGGCGATACGGCAGTCGAAGCGTGGAAATCGTACGTACCCATGAATCGCGTTGCGTCCGGATCAGCACGTGGTGTCTTTGTCTTCGTTGGCTGCGTCGCTCGATGCACACTATATCCCGAAACACCTGCGCGCACGTTCTCCGCACAAACGGTCCCGAGGATGTAACACCGCGGAGGACAGACACACGTCTCGGGGCACACGTTCTGCCTCTCCCCCGCCTCTCTCAGTCTCTCGTATCCGCGCGACGGCTGGTCAGCTCGCGCGGGTTCATCGCCGAAACGAAACGAAACGAAACGAGACGAGACGAGACGAGACGAGACGAGACGAGACGAGACGAGACGAGACGTGAGGAGACGAGACGAGACGAGACGAGACGAGAGGAGACGAGACAAGGCGAAACGAGACGAGACGGGACGAGACGAAACGAAACGAAACGGTCCTCGCCGGTCCGGTCCGGTCCGCTTTTTCGCCGGAAGCGGCGCTCTTGACGATCTGGATCGCACGAAACGTCGAGCGGTCCAGAGTCCAGGGGCCAGGGGCCAGGGGCCAGAGAGCGGCGCCCGATGGGGGAGGGCCCGCCGAGGGCCGGCCGAGTGGGGGTACCGCGAGGGCCCACCGCGGCCCGCTGGTGGGGAATCAGTCCCGCGGAGAGCAGAGGGAGCGGTGGGGAGTGAGGCGAGAGTGGGAAACTCGGAAGCGGCGTCTAGGGGAAAACGATTCGGTTCGATTGGGGAAAAAAGGGGGAACGAGGCCTCCGCGGCCCGCGAAGAGGATCCTCGCCGTGGAGGGGCGGATGGAGGGGGCCGCAGAAATGACGGAACATGGATGCCGGGACCGGAGAAGTCGTGGGCACGATCGCCGTCACAACACTAGCGGTCCACTCTTGGTGGTACACTCTTCCGACGCTACGCACACACGGTCCTCCTCTCTGTCACTGTTCCGTCTCCGACTACGGCTCCGACTCTGGCTCTGTTCCTCCGACTTGGCTCCACGGCTCCAGTTCCCTCTCGGCTCCAGCGGCTGGCCCTGCTCGCGCTCTTCACCTCTCGTCTCCGGTCCTCTCTTTTTCTCCTCGTTCCCTGTCGCTTCGATTCTTGATCGCCTTCCTTTTCTTTCCGTCTCTCTCTCTCTCTCTCTCTCTCTCTCTCTCTCTTTCTCTCTTCTTCTCTTTGCGTGTACGTCGACGTAAGTGCGACACACTGGATTACGTGTGTTGCGTGCCTCTGCGTCGCGATTCTGGCCTCTCTTTTCCGCCTCCTCGGCGAGTAGCAGCGCTCTCGGTGGTTCCCTCCTACCTTGCACTGGACGCAAAAGCACGCCGGAGAACCGAGACAGGGCAATCTACTAGGTAAGACTAGTTCCTCCACCCAGTCGTGGACCCGTTTTCTGTACGGCCACTCTCCCTCCAGCGTTCTGCGGTCTTTTTCACTCGTCTCGCCCCTGAGCACCAGCGGAGAACGAGAGAGAAACTGCTCTTTCCTATCCGGTGTGAGTTTCTGCGGTCTCCGTCGAGCGAGCGGATCTTTGTCCGTGTGTTCTCTCCGCTTCGCTTTCGGCCTCTTCGCCGATTCTGCTTTGGCCTCTTCTTCCGTGGCGCCTCCTGCGAAAGGACCGCGGTCGTCTTTTCATTTCAGCCGCGACTGTCGCGTTTTTTCCCGAGCGGCCGGAAGCGGCAATTCGTTGCTCACAACCCGGGACGCCTTCCTCCTTTCCCGAAATTAATCCCGAGAACAAACTACGGACTTCTACTTAGTTCGCCGATGTCGCGTGGTCGGTGTTTCCCGATTTCCTTTTTTTCGGAGCGCGTAAACGTTAAATGACGGGGCGTTTCGGTCCTCGTCGATAGCTCGCTCTCCGGATACCTGATCGCTGGATCGGAACGCTGCTCGATAGCATAATCGCGCGTTTCAGGAATCCCGTGTCGCGCCACCGCGATCACCGAAGCGTCGTCGCTCGATAGGAACGATGTAAAGCAATTTTCTTCGCGCCCGAGCCGCCCGTGCCGCGCGAGAAAAATGCTCGTTGCGACAGAATTAATTGTGGCCGAGCGATTATGCGCTTTAGAAGCTCTTTTTGCGGACTTGTCGCGACCGTGTAAACGCCGCGAGAGGCCACGCATGAAAATTCCTGCCGGCGACTCGCATTCTTCGCACCGATCGATCGAATATATTTCATCCATCGGCGACGAATTCTTCCCGGTTTCCGGAATGTCCGGCGTGTTTCCGCGAAGCGTGTCTCAACGCGAGTCGAAAAAACCATTCTAACTTATTCTCCTCCCTCGGAAGAATTTCGTCACGAGGATCCAAAGCTATCTTAATACCCTTCTTATTTCGCCCCTGTTCGCCCAAGCTTCCGCGATCCTTTCCAGATAATGAGTTATCTAGCCGGCCGAAAAGTTACTTCTCCAAAAACTCGTCGGTTCTTATCTTCTCTCCATTGAATACCCAACCTCGCCGGGATTTCTCTTCTGGGACGTATCAAACTTCTCATTTGAAAGTCATTATTCAACCTATTTACCCGTCGCAATTAGACCGCGCGCCTTTAAATTTTCCACGGACTGGAGCCTCTCTTAAAACCATTACTGCTCTAAAATCATCCGTTACGTTTCAGGTCGAGCGTCAAATCGACGGTCGTTGGGATCGTCTCTCCTTCTTTTACTGATGCAAAACAAGAATGATCGGTCCTTGTTTTGTTCTTTTTTTAACTAGACGATCAAGGGAAGATGATCAACGTCCGTTTATTCGACGATCGCGTGACTCTGGCCCGAGGCTAAGAATAAAAAGGAAACGAAACAAGAAAAAGAATTTTAAAAAACGGATAAAATAACGTAAAATCGTCCGATTTGAATCGATAAGTTTGACCGAGATCGACGCGAGCGGAAGGTACTCCTCGAAGAGGCCGGTCAAACGGCAATGCGACTCGTGACGCCCGCAAATGGATCGGACACATGGCGTCGCGTGAAAAAATCGGCGAACCGACTGACTCTTGTTACTCGTGAGTATTTTACAGTCGATTGACTACTATCGAGCATTCGAACGAGGGCCGAATGCATCCTGCCGGATACGGTCCGGCGGACTCGATCAAACGTACACCGACCGGTTGGAAGTTAATTCGACGTTATGGCCGATCGTTTGTCATACAAGGGGGAACGCGAATCTTACCGGCTTGCCGGCCCGTCGCGTTGCGCTCTACGTTTCGTCGTGTCGATTCGCGCCGATTTGATTCGATTTGATACGATTTGATTCGAGTGGAAACGACGTCGATCCCGATAGAGTGGGTGGTCTTAGCACGCCATTTTCCTCTTATCCAATCGCTCGCCGCCGACATTGAGAAACTGAAATTTCTCGAGAAAAGGGAGAACGTTCCCTCCCCCGTTCCACCTTGGGAAAATGGCCACACGTCGCGAATGGTCACGGTGTTGCGCCAGCAACAGATTTTCATCGTTCGCGGCTGTATAATTATTTCAATGATTTCAGTGATTTCAATGATTTCAATGATATAATATGCACGAAGCTCGAAAGCGTGTCGTTTTCTTAGCTGGAATTATTTCCATTTCGACGCTGAAAACGGACGTAATCGAGCTTTTTTATCTACGAAATACGAATGTTATTCGTTTCTTTCGAAACGATGTAAAATTTCTCTATTGTAGAAATTATTATTTTTATTATTTTAAGCGCTTTTATAGCATAGATTTAACATACATTGGTTGATATAAAATTTGAGCCTTGTAGCTCGTCTGTACATTTGTTGACAGTTCGTAACTATAAAGACGATCCGCAAGGTTCGAATAATCATATCTTCTCTTCCCAAATTGTTCATTGTTGTGGACAAACTGAGCGTCAATTAGAGTGACATTACTGTACATATTGGACGTAATGGATGCGAGAAAGAATGAATGATTACTACAGGGTGCTCAGATAAATCAATTTCTAAGAGACGGCAGAAAAATATTAAAAAGATTTAAATGATCGCTTTGTTCGTTCGCAATTCTGGCCATTCCAGTTATGCAATTTTGATACCTAGTAACATTCTGAGGTGGGTTCACATTTGAGAGCCGTGTTCAGAGTGCGGAAGAACCATTGCTGAGAACGGAATTTCAAAAGCAGCTGGTCTTTTAAAGTTGCTTGGATCTCGCATCAAAAATCCGAGAGATTTATTGAGAGATTTGGAGAGATTTCACTCGAATAAAATGTTCAGTAAAAGATTGCGAACTCGAGAAGTATATGCCAACGATCACGCTTTTATATCACAGTCAGACAAAACGGTACCATTTAACTGATACGACTGGTCAATGATCGATCTTTTCTTGCAAAGCGAGCGTCACTTTTTCGAGTCAAGTTTCAACATATTTGCATAGCATCATTCATTCAGTCTGTTCAGATCGTGACTTGTATACATTTGGCATCGTTTAAGGAACATACGCTCGTAAGATTGTATCGCCCTTTGCATCGACGGCAACTGTTACAAACTGTCCATTGACATTTCCTTCAGCGGTAACAAGCGAGTCGTACGAATCTCAATACATCGGAGAATCGAATAGCGCGATTTGAAGCGTCGTGCACGAGCGCATAATAAACGCGTCGCTGCTCCAGTTGATCTTGCACAGCTGCTGCAGCCGAAGGTCGTAGCGAACCGATTCGAAAATCCATGGATGCCCGACCCACGCTCGCGAGCTCGTGGGCCGTCTGAATAGCTACCAGGTGCTCGTTATCACGAAACCCGCGAGTCTGTCCGAGGCCGTTCATCTTCCTCGGTTAATTAACGTTTCGTTGCTCGCTCTCTTCTCAAGAAATTCGCGTGAAGCCACGCGCAGCTGTAATCAAGACGATTTTACGTACCGTTCGGGATTCTCTTGGACTGTACCTCCGATCGGGGATCTTTTCGAATGTCTCGCGGAAGGTGCTCAACCTCCGAGCCAGGCCTCCCATTGAAGCACGTAAAAAATGCAGCTGATCGTAGTCAAAAATTGCAGTTATACATCCATAGACCTTGCCGTTACAGTGAAATAAATTGTGCGGATCACTGAACATTTTTCGCACATTTTCAGGATTTATATGTAACGTTTTACAACTATTATCATTCTATTACGGTTCCGTATATGTTCTTTATCATTTTTGCATAATTGTATAATTTTTAATCTTTTGTACTCGAGAGGCGATTCTAAAGCATCGCTAAAAATTGGTATATCACGCTCGAAAATAATTTTCAAATCACCAAAATTAGTTATAAAGCTGTTAAAATTGTATGTATAAAATGCACTAATTAATAAATAATAGAAATAATTAATAAATAAGAGAAAATGGAAATATTATGTTTGAGGAAAACTATTTTGGAT